AGCCCATTTACTATAAAAACTGGTGATCAGAAATTACCCTAGAAATGATCAGGATTTACCCCAGAATTGATCAAGAGAAGGGGTAATTCCTGATGACTAAAAATTTAAAATCTTTTAAATTCTAATTAGATTTTCAAACAAAAGAAGGCAGCATAAGACTCATCTCATATAGCCTCAAACTTCCATAAAATATTAAAATTCTATCTTGAACAGTTTTTTTCACAAAATCGATGTTCGCATTTTCTGATCAGGAATTACCCCAGGTCACCCTGTGTGCTAAAATAAATAGAAACTTTATTTAGATTTAAACTGGTTTAGGCCTAAAACATTTTTGGTTTTAATGGGATGTTAATGATTAAAAGCAAACTGCTAAAAATATTCCTCAAGTGCCAAATTACTAATCCTACTGGTCTGTGTTAAAACACTGAAATATTTTACCTGTCTTTCAAGTAAATAGGGTTGAGAAACATTGATTTAGAGTATTTGATATAAAAGAAATTTTTTCCCAAATTGAATACTATAAAATTAGTCCGATTAGAATAACATATGTGAAAATGCACTTAAACAATAATAAATCGAAACAAATTCATTTTGAATAAAGAGCTTATACAGTGAAATCATTAAAAGAATGTGGAATATCTGGCTGGGAGGAAGCAAGATCTATTGCTAGAGACAGGAGGCGTTGGAGGGATATGCTAGAGGCCTTAAGTGCCCAAAGGCACGTAGAGGATAAGTAAGTATACAGTGAAATCTCTTGGGAGCGACCACTCTCTGTTCCATAGCAAAATGGTCGGATGAAGATGAATTCGATGATGTAGCACCAACTGAAACTACTATTGCCCCAACAAGCTTTTTCTGACAATTCTTCTCGAGAAAAAGTTAAATGAAATATTTTATTGTAAAAATAAAATCAAATTCTCATAATCTTATAATATATAGTTAAGAAATTTAGTTTTTTTTTACTTTGCAGAAAGACAGAGAGAGATGTAGAAACAAATATAAACTAAAAAATAATTTACCTAAATTATGAAGTTTTCTACTTCTTTTTATCAGAACTTTTTTGGTCACTTACGTTGAAAAGAAAATACTAGAGTAATGGTGTCAAAGTGGTTTTTTTTAAACATTAAATTACTTAGTTATTGTGTCTTTCAAAATATATCAATTGCTCAAAATAATAAACTGCTAGAAATTTGCAGTGTTTTTAGAAAAAAGAAATAACAGTAATTTAAAAATATATTATTAGCTTTTCTACAAGACTGAAAGATTACTAAATACAATTAATTATAATTATATTTTTAAACATAAAATAAATAGGTAAACATTATTTTTTTAAAATTAGATCATAGGCTTCTATGCCTTTCAAAATGGTTTTAATATTTATAACAATAGGATCCAGGAGAAGAATCTGCTTTGATGGGTAGCGAAACTATTCTTTGAAATTTGAACCTTATTCTGCATTTGTAGTTCGACAGCTGTAAATCATAATTCACGTTGTCTTGCTGTTTATGAATGCCTCGCTATTTTCACCTTTTCAAAGCTTGTTATTACTTAGGTATTGCACTTGAAGCTGCAACGACCCATTTTTTCATTAATCGTTAACACCTGGTCTAAGAACACGAATGTTTACTAGTGGAGAATGCGTTGTTGTCGAAACTCTTAAAATAGTTAAATCTCTATGACTTTATTTATTTTTAATTTTAAATGTTATCTTCCTACGAAGGAGATTCTTTGCTGGAGGATAATCGGTATTTAACTGTAATTTCTCATAAACTTATTCTTTCCTTCATAATGAATGTTCTATATTCAGCTGTCAGACCACCCAGATATATTACAAGTTACTCATTTATTTCTGTAGAAGATAAGCGTTATCAGCGTAGCTTCTAAAGGCTATTATTATATGAAAAATAACATGTCATATTGTAGATTTTCTCCATTCCTATGTGAAGTTGGGATTGATATCTTTGACATCAAAATTATGGTGTGGTAGTGTAAGAAATTTCTTCGATATTCCTCTTTTCTTTCAAAGAAATTTCTTGTCACCACACCCACGTATACTGCACCATATGTTGATAAACAAATGCCGATTTCCGACTCTTCAGTAAAATGCAGAACAATTTAGTCGCATACTTAAAAAGAAATAATTACAAGTAAAACAAGACAGAAAGATAAATCTTAGTCTAGAAGGCAGAGCTGAAATAGGAAGTAATTGTGTTCGCTAGCATACGTAAAGAATAGCTGTCTGGCTGATTGATGATGGGATTTTAAACTTTATTTCTTGTCTAAACTTGCAAATTTTTTTATTCTTTTAAATGTTATATTTCTACCATTTTTTTTTCTTTTTAAAGTTAGGAGTACCTTTCTTTTTTCTCTTACTTTATGCATTACACTTTTTCCTTGTACTTCAGGTTCGATAAAACATCGATTATCGACACTTTTTGGTCGATCCAGAAAACCGGGAAATTCAGATATCCGGGATAGCGATGGTCCCGAGCATCCCGGATAATTGGTTCTCTACTGTATTNTATATATATATATATATATATATATATATATATATATATATATATATATATATATATATATATATATATATATATATATATATATATATATATATATATATATATATATATATATATATATATATATATATATATATATATATATATATATATATATATATATATATATATATATATATATATTTGCTTAACTTTGGAGATATTTTTATATAGTTAAACACTTATTTTGTTTGCATGTAAGCCACTTTTTTAATTTCAGATAATTTTTCCATGATTAGATTTTTATTAAATTACACATAAACTTACTTTTGCCTAATGATTAGCAAGTATTTATTAAAATTTAAATGCAGTTTTACTGCTTTTATTACCCATATTTATTGCATTTTAATTTTTATTTTTAATGACAATATTTTAAAAATTTGTGAGAAAAATGATCAAAAATGAAGACAACACGTGGAAAAATTACAGCAAAAATGGATGCTTCAGAAAACAAGATAGATTATTCATCGAAAAAATATTGAACAACAGATTTTAATAAATATAAAAATTGCAGCTAAAAGAATTTTTCTGAAATACTATAAAAGTATTCTGACAATACTTTTATTTTATTCAATAAAATGTTTTTATTTCTATAAATTAAAATAAAGAAAGCATTAATTTACTTTCTTCAAATAAAAATTTTGTTTTTTGGTCATTTTCCTCTTTCCATATCAGACAAACAAGTAAAAACTTTTTAAGCGAGAAAATTTTTCAAGCAAATATACATAACAAAATAGGCGTTTCACAGTAAATACATTATTTAAAAGAAAAAATAGTAATTTTCAGTTATAAATTAAAATACATATTGAAATTTGAATCTTTTACTCTCCGATAACACCTCTGAGTTGACATCGGGAGTCACCACATTAAAACTTAAAATTTTTATATCTCATTAATTTGAAGCCACAATAAATTCATTAATTTCAGAAGCTGCATAGAAATATTGCACTATGAAATTTATATGACTTAATCTTTGCTCAAACTACATATAATCAGAGAGCATTAAAAAGCCAACTTGGAATGCAAAAACTAAAATATTTTTATATAAATTACGGAAAGACCTATACAAAATTTGGCATCTACTTTGAATCGTTTACTTTCAAATAATTAAAAATTAGTTAAACGATTTAGAATATTTGCAAGACCCCTATAACAAATAAATTTGATTAGTATTATTTCCTCATAATTTTCAGATTTCCAAATTTTTTCCCACTCACCAAACTGAAATTCACATAAAAATATAGTTTTTAGATAAATGTTGAAAAAAAAATTTTCTTTTTGATTTTTTAAAATTTATATAGAAATATTGTAATTAAAATATTATTGTTGTACAAGTTTACAGAATCTTTTATGTTGCAACGCTAGAAGGAATATTATTTACAAATGAAAATTTCACTGAAATGAATTTATTGTAGGCTAATGTGAAAAATATTTTTTTATACTTTGGTGTGAAATGAATAGTTTCTGGGGATAAAATTTTTAATATTTTCAGAGCTTTATTAAATAATAAGAAAAGTTTATCTTATTTCAAATCGCAAAATTATATAAAATAAGACACACATTTAGGTTGAATGAATTTTTTTAATTATATCACCAGATTAATTTCTCCTTAATGACTGATGTTAATTTTAAATGTTGGTTTCTAAGAAATTAAAAGTTTATGTTTCAATCAATTAAGTTATTGAATTATATTAGTTTTTATTTTACAACGAAAAAAAGGATTTTATTTGTGCGAGAATATCATTTTCAATTTAAATGCTTCATTTAAAATTTTTATAACTGGATTGCATAGAATTACATACTTAATTTTCTATAAAAATAATAAAATTTTTAAAAAAAATGAAAGCATTTATTAACATTTTATAAATCTTGCTATGTTAGCGATATTCTTGCTTCAAATAATGTCTTTCTTCCCTTTGAGAACCTATTTTGGGGATATTTCCCCAGGTGAATAAGAAGAAGATCAGTCATTCCGGAAAGCTGGGGGTAGGAACTTTTTGCTACTTCTTTTCCAACTTCGGGCGTTTGCGGTATTCTGGGCATGTTGTAGTTTAGGTCGCTCGGTATTTAAAGATATTTAACTATAGATTTACTCAGAGCTATAAGCATGACAAATCATGGTCATATGCTGAAAAATGATGGAAAACTATAAATACCTTGATTTTGGGTATTTAGCCACGGCAGGGATAATACCTGGGTAAATAAAGATTAATAACTACCTTTTCCGCTGGGTATTTACCGAATTCGCATCTATAAATCATTTTCATAAATTTTTAAATTATTTTATTACGTTTATAAAATCAAAGCGTTTCAAAACCACAACAATTTTTTCTGATAACTACAAAAATAGGAAATAATTTTAATTAAATAAAAATTCTTGCATAAAATAGTTCTAAGACCAATTTGAACAATTATTTAGTGGGTGGAAATAAAACTAACCAAGCATATAGCTTCATCGAAAGCATACTGCTTAATGTTCTTTAAAGGAATTCCCAAGATGCGATGGATTTCTTCAATGAGGTCCATTCTTCATAGTCTTTTAAAATTTGAAAATTTTAATCTCATTTCTCGAAGCTTATTGAAAGAAACAAAAATTTAAATTTTCTGTCAAATTTGTGTTCTGTTTGTTTTGATTAGGACGCTTTCCCCCTTCTATTTCTGTTACATGAGTTCTTTAATCGTAAATTATCTGGTCAGCCTGGACTTCCGGCGACACAATTGTTTAACCTCAAGGAGCATTTTCACTGTATAAGAAAAATCGCGAATCAAAGATGTGAAGCATCTGAGCTGAGTAAATGATTCGTGAACTTTTTGCGGGAACGGCTAAACCACTTGCGTATAGAGAAGCACTAAGAAAGGCAGAGAAAATATGCATTAAAAGTTTTCCCAGCTTTCGAAGACATGCCATCACAGTTTGGACCTTCTGCAGAGGGAGTGTCTCTCCCATTTCGGGTTATTTCCATCATAGGTTTCCGTGCCTTTCTCAGCGATACCAAAATAAGGTGGTATGGAGTGAGACCTCGCTGAGCTAAAGATAAACGAAGCTGGAAGATTAAAGAAAATGACATAAATTATTACTTTTTATTTTTAATAATAAAAATATAGTACCTAAAATATATTCTTTTTTGTACTTAAATTGTAATTTATTTTTTGTTTGAAGAGTTGTTGCTGTTGTAGTTAATTTACGTCGCACTAGAGCTGCACAATGGGCTAATGGTGACGGTCTAGGAAACATCCCTGAGGATGATCCGAAGACAGGCCATCACAATTTTGATCATCTGCAGAGGGGATGGCACCCCTGCTTCGGTAGCTCAACGAGCTGCACGTGAAGTCAAGCACTTTACGGTAGAACAGTTTAACGAGGACCAATACCGCACACCCTGGGTCCCTACGCAGACTGATCCAAGTGGTCACCCACCCGTACACTAAGCTCCTGGAAACATTGGAATTCCAAGTAATTAGTTTATTTATATTAAAATTAAAATCATTTCTTTTATCATATAAAATCAACAAAGCAGATATTTTCTTCTTTTATAATACCCAAATCCAAAAAATTGAAATTAATATTATCATCATGATTACGAAGCAAGATTAATTCCTCGGGGTAAATATCATTTAATAAAATAGTATAATCTTGAAAATTAAAGATAAGTTATCAATATATCTAAAAACAAATTTAATACTAAGAGTATAATTTTTTTTCATAATGAAGAGATGAATAATTAGATCCTTGTGGTATTCCATCAATTTGAAGAAACATATCCCTTCCATTAATAAAGATAATTATTAAAAAGACGAAAATTAATCAGAATTTCCCAATAATCAGAATCGCAACAAGGGATATTTTTAAAATCATAGTAATAATTCAAAAGGGAATCTTTTAGTTTAGAGAGGGGAATGCTATAGAAAAGATCCTACAAATCAATAGAATTAATTTTATCATGTTTAATGAATTCTAAAATCGGTTGATTATTAGTGATAATCCAAGAGAAACCATCTTTTGAAATATTGTTAATAATTTTATTTAAGTAGTTATAGAAAATGGTGCCAGGTTTAGTTAGATAAGTATTAGATCCACATGTGATAGTTCTAAATTTTACAGGAATTTTATGAAATTTAGGACAGATAATTAAGTAAGGAAATTGTATATTGCTAATTTTAATTTTAAATCTCTTATATAAGGCTAAAATTTCTCAAATGACAAAATTATTATTGACATTACTAAGTTTAAAATTTTTACTATTTTTTAATTCCATATTTAAAACTTCTAAAATTATTTATAGTCATCTTCTTTAAATTATCCAGTATAATATTACCTTGCGCACATCCATTTTCGGGCCCATCCTTGGTAACTAACAAATCAAATGCACTTCAGTAATGCAGTAAGAATGCACTTTAAAACAAAACTCCTCTAGTTACGCTCAATTTGCGCTTTTGTTTTCACACTTTGCAATCTGGCAATCTTGTTACGAAAATATTTTAAATCATTCTTGAATAATTTCCCGTTCATGTAAGTTCATTTGAATTCACTGCTCGCTTTATAGATTATGTTTTATTCTGTTTTTTCTTTATATTTTATTTTCTTTTTTTACGTGTTATTTTTACTCATTGTGTTCTATTTTATTTATTTGTTGCAATTTTTGTAAAAATGCTTTGAGTGTTCCTCACACTATTGTGATGATATATTTTGCTTTAGCTATATTGATACAATATTAGAAAGCACTCTTTTTTGCGGATATAATCGTGTGGGCAGATGAAAAGATTATATCTTTTATTTTCCGGATTTTTTAAAAAAAATTTATCCTTTTCNTATTATTCATTGGCATGTTTTTAGCCTTGAAGTCCCAAAATAGAATTTCTACCCTTATCCTTTACCAAAGATATTTTATGAAAACGAATGAAGTTTTAATGTTTTTATTAATACAAAAGTATTTATAATTTTTGTATTGCATATATATATATATATTTATATATATAAACTCACATGCCTCAATTCCATTCAATATTCGCTAAAAAAAGTTATGAAGAATCATTGTAATCCAATGAAACCATTAAAGCAAAACTTAATGTAATTGATCAATGTTAGTCAATGATTGTGTTATGCTCGGATAGTGATAATTTTCAATTTTCGTAAAGATAATCGATTTTTAAACCGCCCATGTGGTATTTTTCTGTTAGCCCTTCCAAAAGTAGAACTGACTTGTTAACGGCATTATGGCTTTTTTTCTTTAATGTCTTTTAATTTTTTGGAAATAAATATAAGAAAGAAATAAATCTATAAAAGAAAAAGATATACACAATGTTTTATTCTGAATAACTTTTGATCTTAAAATTGAAAAATTCTGAACTAAGATGCAATATTCCTAACATAACGAAAGATATTCTATATAACAGTGAAAATGATAATTTAAGTTTCAAAACCGCACACAAACATGACAAATACGATAAATTTGGAACCGTTTTTAAGAATTTCAGTACTATTTTAACATGTTTTATTTCGCTTTTAGAACAAATTATTGCAAACCAAAAATTCTCCGCATTTATTAATAAAATTCATTCATTTGAGGATGAAATCTTATAAAAAAATTATAGATAAACAAATTAAATAAATAAATAAAAATTAATAACAATTTTTTCTTATTTTTAATATTTTTTCAATTTAAATTAAGCGATAATATCTTATGTGGCAAAGATACCATTTTAATAATTTCCATCTTAGTATTTGACCATTAAAAATTACATATTTTATAAATTCTGAAATATACGCTTTACAATGAAAACTGTTAAAAATACTTTACCATAAACTTATTTTAGAGTAAATAGGTGCAAACAGTATTTGATTCCCACTTTCGGGAAATCCTCAAAATTGAAAAATAAGATTTAGAGGTTCGCATTTTTAATTTGTTTTCTAATTAAACCAAAACTTATCAGCTATTCCCACATAAAGAAGGATCTTAAAAATATAAATCCGTCGAATACTGGCCCATTTAAACATATTTATTTAACATTTCTGAATATAATATAAATTAAAAGAAAACGCATTCTAATTTATTTATTTATTACTTGTGCTTGAAAAAAAAATCTTGATTCTAAATTATAAAAATAAGTTTCTATCAATATTATACTTATGTAAACAATCGGCGGAATTTAAAAAAAAAGAAGAAAGATAAATAAAATGCTTTAATTAATATGTTCTCCTTTAGAATTGTAACTATAATGTTATGCACTAGATTTATCATAATTTGTTTCCCAATCGTATGAAATACTTTAATTGATATGTTCTCCTTTAGAATTTTAAATTATAATGTTATGAGTTAGATTTATCAATATTTGTTTCCCAATTGTATAATAAAACTAATAAAAATGTAAAAAATGCATAAATGTAAATACGAAATCATTAACATTCCTGCTTAAAATGATAACATTAGAGAATGTTTTTTTAAAATTTATTTTCTTTTCTTTTCTGTTGCATGAGATTTTTCAACGAATCTTAGATATTTCCGCGATATTACTTTTATATAAATTCCCCACTTCTTTGCTGCGTAGGAAGTCGTAGGAAAGAGGTGATAATGCATTTCAGTTAATGATGTGATACGTTAATATCATTTTTATCTTGTCTTAAGTGTTATTTTTAAAGGAGCAGACAAGCATATATGTATGTGTATAAATTAAACTGAAAATATCATTTTGAAAAAAATCTAAAGCTTTCGGAACAAAACTAATTTCAGATTTGAAATCCTCACACCCGAATTAAGCAAGATCAAGTAATTGTATAAATACAGCAAAAAGAATTTGTTTCCTAGTGTATTCAAAAATGTCTATAATGAATTTTCCGTAAGAATTTAGTTTTAAATTTAAAGAAGTAGAGGAATTTAAGCTTTTTTAAATTTCTATAATAATTCTTCCTTTTTATAGAATTCAATTATTTTTATAAAATGTAGTTCGTTTTATAATTCATAAATTTAATTTAAGATGGTTTTAATGGTTTTCGAAGAAAAAAATATTTCTGCTTATAAATTGTCATTTTATTTCCTCTAAAGTTTTATTTCTCACAAGTGTGCCTAAAAAATACCAAGATGTTTAAGAACCGTTCAAAAAGTACGTACATCCCGAAGGGGGAGGAGGGGATTTGCTATTTTGTACGGTTTTGTACGATGGGGAAAGGGGGAGGTATTATACAAAGTACGTATATTATAAGCATACACCAAATTTAAATTTGACTTTTTCCTACACATGTAAATACACATATGTTTGTTCTTGTATTTTTTTTCCCACGGCGACTACTTGTTAGAATGAGTAAATCAGTTCTCAAATAAAGTTGTCCCGCAAAATAAAAAATTAGGGGGGAGTAGAGTAATAAAATGTACGAACTCTAAGGGGGGGGGGTAAGACCTTATNTAAGATTTCGGTAATGTACGAAGGGGGGAGGGGGTCAAAATTTCTCCATTTCTGTGTACATACTTTCTGAACAATAGGTTATAGTTTTATAAAGCATTATAGATATATTAGAAAATTGATATTAATTTCAAATTAAGTTATTTGCAAGTTATAACTTTTAATTTGAGTTATGATCAATAAATCACTCTTGCTATACGAATTATTAGTAATTCATTCCCTTTCAATAAATTATGGTTATAACTGACGAGC